GAATACTTCATTCGGCGTCGACTTACATTACCGCTGTATTGCGCCGTGCATTCGACTCCTACGCAGAGTTGTTGGAAATGTGTGAATTCAAGATAAGGCTTCTCTTGCAAGCAGATATAATCCTACGGCTCGGAAAGGTCCTAGCATATATTCCGTTTTGCCTGTTTATTGGTTCGTGACGTCGTTGTGAGCGGCCAACGTGCTTCTTGTCTTCTCCCACTCCCCACTTCTGAGCTCGCAGCTTTGCCTTCAGGTATTTCTTCGGATGTTCTTGAGGACTGCACGGCGACTAAATATCGCTGCTCTCCCAACTTCTGTATGGGTTCTGTGCTTACGACCCCTCTTCACCCTTCACCTTCGCGATGAAATATGTTCATTCGTTCTGGTTTCCCAACGTTGGCATAGTACATAAAGAACGTTCAGTGCTGGTTAAGAATTGAATTGCGCTACTTATTACTAACTATTAAGCTGATTGTTTGGAAGCGTTTTGGTTTTTCTCACAGTGCAACGTTCCTAAAAACTGCATGATAACGAGATCCTATTAGCATAGGCACTAAAAATCATGACAAGTGAATTTTAATGCGAGAATTTGAGAAATTATTGGAGCGAAAGTTAACAATGTTACTTGAATGAGAGGTTTTTTGTAGGACTTCATGGAAGGATGGAGAGGCAACAACAATTCATAAAGAGAGCGAACACGCGTCATTGATGAAGAGGGCAGCAGGGCTCAGGAAATAGGATAGCCGAGGATTACGAGAAGAGAACATCATCAGGGAAAAGGATGAGAACGAGCATACACAGCTGCGTCTTTTCATATCCCCTTCGCGACTATCTGAAAAGGGAAAGCTTTCGTGGAGAAACTGCTTTTGAGGGCCTAATCCATCTGCAAAAAGAAGCAGCCGGAATCCGACATCGAGGCCCTTCTAAATGATGCGGACAGTCAAAAATTTATGCTCTCGAAGCGGAGTTGAGACTACGCCGTTCTAAGGCGCACACTGACAGCAATCCCGACAATTGGCTTTATTTCGAATACGTAAATTGCGAGCGATAGATGACTCAACAAGCAATTGGCCGAACAAGAAGGAAGCACGACGCGGGGTTACATGTACATACATACTAGACACATGCACATTTATACACTCGACCAAGGCGTAGACCGAGTGGCGGGATAAAGCTCGGAGTGTTGGAGCAAGCCTTTTTCATAAGCACTTGGCATTGTTGCGCGTATCAGCTCGAGCATCCTACACTACCTCAAGTTATACCTAGACAGTCCACTTGATCAAAGTTTCTTGTGGTCCGATACTATCTTCGCCCTCTCTTGGACACAGAAAAGGCTCTTCCCATCTTCATACGCAACCGTGTACGAACCATAAGGGCAAAAACAGAAGGTGCAATCTTCCGTCATGTTCCGATCTTCAAAATCCTGCAGGTGTAGCAAGCTGTGGATGCATCATCGAAGACCTACAAACAAAACACCTATGGTGAAACGGTCCGAGATCTTTGCTTGAAGAGGATAATCGCTAGCATAGCAATAACAACATCGGAGTAGAACTCTTTTGCTCTTTCCCTGGTGACACTCCAGAGACAAGTAGGCTGCAACCAACACCAGTCATGGAATCAAGAGGATTCAGCACATGGTCACGGTTGCTGCCGCACTAATCATAATCCTGACTTCACCATGAATCTCTTCAAAAGCTGCGCAATATTCCAGAACTATGAAAACGGCGATAAAGTCCAAGGCAGAAACAACCTGTTCCGCATAGCTCAGATAGAAGGTAGCCTGATGAAGATCTATAGTGCCAACTCGACTTATTCAGATGCGAGAAGTCAAATTCACTTCGAGTTCACACCAGAATCGTCAATGCTGCCTTTTCTCCTAAAACCAACGAGCCGATTCTACTTCGTAGAGGGGCACGCCATCGCGTCGAGATAAATTTCTGCTAAATACGCGCCCAATCTCTGAAGAGGGTCTCGCTACGAGCCCCTCCCCCTTGTCCGCTGCTAATCTGGTAAATAAATAAATAAATATGAGAAACACGATGAAAATGAGCCATAATAAATCATAAATAAATTAAGAAAAGTAATAAATTATAAATGAGCATCAAAAGGCACAAGGGAAGAAAGAAAATGCAGGAAAAGCAAGTGCTGGTACTTGAACATAAATTGTTCGCAGTCATTCAAAGGTGAGCGCGCTTTGCGCTGTGGTATTGGAGCGAGCTATTTCACGGTTCGGATGCAGTCTCAAGCCAAGCACTCCGAAGTACCCTTCGCTTGAACACCCATAACTTCTTTGAGAGTGGAGCTTTCGGAGAGAAGAAAGCAGGACTGTGGAGCAATTGATTGGCACTTGTTTCATTTTTTCTTCATTTCATTTGGCACATTTCAAAAACTCTTTCCGAGAAATTCTTCCTGTTGTGATCCCGTTGTGATCATTGGGGGGGGGAGGGTCACTCACAGGTCCTTCCTCTTTGAACTGCCATAACAATCTTCATGCAAGGGCAATTGTAATAACAAAAAGCAGTGACGGGATTTCGAAGGTTTCTAAGGCTTTCATTTTATCCCTAGGCCTGCTATTCGAAAACCGCGTTGTGATCATTGCACAGCCCCTTCCGAACAACACGAAAAACCAACCCCTCCGACGCCATACCTTCCAGCTCGTTCAAAAACTTTGGTATGCTTCTGAAAAACATGTTTTCGCCATGATTATCAGGAAATAGTTCATTAGGCGATTGGCATCACCTTTATAATGCGCCATGCATAGGGCTCTCACGCAGAGTATTGGGAAGGTGCAACTTCTAGATAGGGCTTCCTCCGTGCAAGTAGATGTGCTCCTGCGATCAGAAAGGTCCCGAAGTATTTTCATCTCTTCATTAATTCATAACGTCGTTGTAGGCGGTCATCATTGTATTTCATGTCACGCCCGTTCTCCACATAAAGATAAAAGTGTTGGATACTCTCACTGGCATAACTCAACTGTCGTGCCATCTTAAATGACGTCACCCGCAGCCTTTCTTTCGATGCATTTATTCACAGTCTACGACGTTTCATTGCAACAAATGGCTGTCCAAAGAGAATCATCTGCGCCAACGCACCTTCTTTCGAATCTTCCGCGCAAGCACAGTCCGACGAATAGGACGCTATCAGAAGACCTGCCGAGTTATTGTGCCACGAGCAGAATTCACTTTAAGTTCATTACTCCTTTCAGCTCCTGGCAAGACGGTATTTTACTTTTTTATTTCTGCAAAGGGAAAAACGCATCGCAAGCTCACAAAAAGTTATGTGCTGTTTATGGTGACGAAGCCTTAAAAGAACGGCAGTGTCAAAATTGGTTTGCCAAATTTCGTTCTGGTGATTTTTCACTCAAAGATGAAGAACGCTCTGGTCGTCCAGTTGAAGTTGATGACGACCTTATCAAAGCAATAATCGATTCGGATCGTCACAGTACAACACGTGAGATCGCAGAGAAGCTCCATGTATCACATACATGCATTGAAAATCACTTAAAACAGCTTGGCTATGTTCAAAAACTTGATACATGGGTTCCTCATGAACTGAAAGAAAGGCATTTAACGCAACGCATTAACAACTGCGATTTGCTTAAGAAACGTAACGAAAATGATCCATTTTTAAACGACTGATAACTGGCGATGAAAAATGGGTTGTTTACAACAATATCAAGCGGAAAAGATCGTGGAGCAAGCCAGGTGAACCAGCTCAAACAACATCAAAAGCTGATATTCATCAAAAGAAGGTTTTGTTATCAGTTTGGTGGGATTACAAAGGAATTCTCTACTTTGAACTCCTACCACCCAACCAAACGATCAATGCTGATGTCTATGTCTAACGAAATTAAACTTCTGTTGAAGAAAAGCGGCCCGAATTGACAAATCGAAAAGGTGTGGTATTCCATCATGATAATGCAAGGCCACACACATCTTTGGCCACTCGGCAAAAATTATTGGAGCTTGGTTGGGATGTTTTGCCACATCCACCATATAGTCCTGACCTTGCACCATCAGATTACTTTTATATAGTCCTGAGCTTGCACCATCAGATTACTTTTTGTTTCGCTCTTTACAAAACTCCTTGAATGGTAAAAATTTCAATAATGATGATGATGATGATGATGATGTCAAATCGCACCTGATTCAGTTTTTTGCTAATAAAACACCAGGAGATTTATGAACGTGGGATTATGATGCTGCCTGAAAGATGGCAAAAGGTCATTGATAAAAATGGGCAACACATCACATGAAAATATTGTCATTGATATTTGAAGAAAAATCCGCAATTGCTCACTTGCCAACCAGGGCACGCCATCGCGTTGTGATCATTTCCAGCTAAATACGACCTCCCCCCAATAAGGGTCCTAATACGAGCCCCTCTCTGTCACGAGGGTACAAATGAAAAGAAGCGCAAAAAAAATCAGAAAATGACAATAAAGAGAACTGGGCGCTATTGAACTATTCCTACGCCAAAAACTCAAAAAAATTTGTGCTGAAACTTTGTCTATAGATGTTATTCGATGTCCTGATCACGAGTGTGACATCATTTTCCATACCAGCGCTATTTGGCACTCTGCTGAGGCTGAAACTGAGAATCAAGAATAAATATCATATTCGTAAACAGGATGTCAAATAACCCCCGTATACAAGTTTTCATCGATTTTGGTGATTTAGGGTATTTTGGCCCCGGCGCCAAAATACCCTAAATCACCAAAATCGATGAAAAGTTTTGGGCAAAGCGGGTGTGATATTCGTGTTCAGGAGGTCGAAGTAACACTGTAACAGTATTTCATGGCAAGCTTCATACACGGCCTTTCGTAAAAAAAACTGTGCCGGAAGCATGAAGCTTTCTACTTTCCAGCAAAACTTTCATTTTATCCCTAGGCCTGCTATTCGAAAAAATCCCCCGTTGTGATCATAGAAAAATCACTCCCCCACGGCCCGAAAAATCAACCCTCCGACGCCAGAAAATCTCCAGTTGGCTTTAAGACATTGGTATGCTTCTAAAACGCATGTTTTTGCCAAGGATACCAGGAAATAGTTCATTGGACGCCAATTGGCATCACCTCTGCATTGCGCCATGCATAGCGCTTTCACGCAGAGCTATTGGGAAGGTGCAACTTCTAGAAAGGGCTTCCTCCGTGCAAGTAGGTGTGCTTCTGCAATAGAAAGGGAAGTGTACTTTCATCTGTTTAGTAGTTCATGGTGGATATTTATTGGCGCGGAGGTGGGGTAGTGAAGTGGCGCGCTTACCACTCGCGCGATGCCGGGTTCAAATCCCGAGTCTACTCTCGCCCAGGCCAACCAAGCCTTCTACGGTAAGATGGTGCCAGATTCGTCTGGGAGGATAAAACACTGACTTACAGGGGGAGCAAAAAAAAGTCACTTCGACCGAGTCACATATCAGCAAAGTTTTCGCTGCCCAGACAGAGGACGTGGATACGAGTACCAGGGCGGAAGATACCCAAGATGTTCCTCTATAAGCAGGAGCTGGCTCTCGCCCATCACCTTCATGTACACAGCCTGACTGGAGAAGACCTTTGGAATTCATGTCACCTCCAAACAGCTGCGAAACTTCTAGTATGGAGTCACCCATGGATAGCTACCTGGAGACCAGTACTCTCGATCTGGATGACCTCCAACATCGAGCAGCTCCGACAACGTCGCCACGGTCTAGGACATCATCTTCACCACAGTCGCCAAGGCGCGGGTTGATGGTATGGACCGGACGTACCTGGAATGGAAAGACCAATATTTTCTTCGTGGACCCGGGTGGCGGTTACATTGGGCAACTCGTGAAGAATATCCTCCTCACATGTCGTCGCCCGTACCTTCTTGGAAACTTTGTACTGCTACAGCATTGAGTGCCACCACATGAAATCGAAGGAGAAACTCTCGCCTACTTGGAATGGAAGGGGGCTGAGTACCTAAAGAAGATGGAATATCCAAGTAGGTCACCTGACCTGAATCCCCTCAATTACCCGGTTCGGGCGGAGTTCAATAGGGTGGTCTACGGTGGCGGAGAAATCGACTATCTCGCTGATCTCAGGCACCACATCGCGGTCGCGTGCCAGAATCTCTCGATGGCGCTCGTCCAGAAGGCTGTGGCGGAGTGTCATGATAGTATTTGATATGCTCTTTAATATGGTGGTAGAAATGTCCGATCAGAATTTAATAAAGTGTAACTTATAGCGCCTCGAAAGTCAAGTGAAGAAAAGTGACTTCCCTCCCCCTTGCATACATCGGCAGACCGCCGCAAGTCATTGTACAGGGGGGGAGCAAAAAAAGTCACTTTGCTTCATTGACTTTCGAGGCGCTATAAGTTACACTTTATAAATTCTGATCGGACATTTCTACCACCATATTAAAGAGCATATTAAATACTATCATGACACTCTCACAGCCACAGCCTTCTGGACGAGCGCCATCGAGAGATTCTGGCACGCGACCGCGATGTGGTGCCTGAGATCAGCGAGATAGTCGATTTCTCCGCCACCGTAGACCACCCTATTGAACTCCGCCCGAACCGGGTAATTGAGGGGATTCAGGTCAGGTGACCTACTTGGATATTCCATCTTCTTTAGGTACTCAGTATTCCATCTTTTTTGGGTACTCAGTCTCCTTCCATTCCGCCAGCGCTCACCATCATTCCGAAGAAAATATTGGTCTTTCCATTCCAGGTACGTCCGGTCCATACCATCAACCCGCGCCTTGGCGACTGTGGTGAAGATGATGTCCTAGACCGTGGCGACGTTGTCGGAGCTGCTCGATGTTGGAGGTCTTCCAGATCGAGAGTACTGGTCTCCAGGTAGCTATCCATGGGTGACTCCACACTAGAAGTTTCGCAGCTGTTTGGAGGTGACATGAATTCCAAAGGTCTTCTCCAGTCAGGCTGCGACTGGAGATGACTTCATATTTTGGTGTACATGAAGGTGATGGGCGAGAGCCAGCTCCTGCTTATCGAGGAACATCTTGGGTATCTTCCGCCCTGGTACTCGTATCCACGTCCTCTGTCTGGGCAGCGAAAACTTTGCTGATATGTGACTCGGTCGAAGTGACTTTTTTGGCCCCCCCCCTTGTATAGGCCTCATCGCATTCAATAAGCCACTTCTGAATGGAAGTTGAATGCGTGCCGCATCCCACAAAGGGTTGATCAACGGCGGAGACTTTATCCTTTACCTTTTTTTATTAATTCATGACGTCGTTGTGGGCGACCATCGTACAGTACCCACCGTAAGTGTTCAAAAATTAAAAAAACGCCGATCCGCGTTTTTTTCGTTTTTTCGTTATAGAGCTGTTCCTGTTGACTTTTTGTATAGATACCCATATATGATTAGAATCAGCTCGCCGAGCTGTATCCGAGGGTATGCTCATATTCTACGACATTGGGTTTTGGCCGGCGCCATTTGGCGCCACTTTGCGACACCTTAGCGCCACAACTTTTCTCAACAACATCTGTATAAACTTGCTTACTGGGGCTATTCAGTGCCCTGTTCACGAAAGTACATTCATTTTTAGCCATGGCGCCATTTGGTGCCAATTTGGCGCCACTACTTTTTTCACCAAAATCTTTATAAACTCGCAGCCTGGTTTGTGGAATGGTCACGTGATCGTCATTTGCAGAGCATACATAAATCACGTGAGCTTGCGGCTCTGTGCTCACCATAGCCGCTTGTTCACGTGATTACTGCATGTCTTTATAGTTCACATTCACGTGATCATTATAACACATACAGTCTGAGCCGACCAAGGCATATCGATCGGACTCTGCATCAGTGTAATTGATGGAGGGAACTTCAAGGAAATCAGGGGTCAAGAGTCGGCCAAAAATACCGCAGATCGCCAAATCAACTAGAGTGGTCTCACTGCGTGCATACGAATATCTTGTGCGCTTGGCACCTGTCTACCGCCGGCGCCAAAGCAGTTCGCAACAGCAGACTGGTTGCGAACTTGTCCCCGTGATAGTGTGATCCATAGAACCAAATATTACATCCGCTTGGCTCTTGTGCCACAGGCGCCGGCTAATTTCCTGAACTTAGTGTCATAACCGCTTGGTCCTAACTGTTTGGCGCCCGTGCCATCGGTGCTGGCGCCAAACGTAGATCACCAAAATTGTTGAGCACTTGTATACCGGGTCGCTTGACATCCTGATTACGAGTATGACGTCCATTTTTTTCTGCGCCGGCGCTAATGGACTCTACGATCACTCTGCTAAGGCTGGCGATTCGTGATTAGGGCATCGAACCACACCACCCCATGCATGTTTTTATCAATTTTGGCGAAAACTGGGGTAGCGCCAAATTGGCACCAAATGGCACCGAACGGCGCCATGGCTAGGAATGAATGTTACATTCGTGATCAGGGCACCGAGAAACCCCATTATGCAAGTTTATACAGATTTTTTTGGGAAAGGTCGTGTCGCCAAAGTGGCGCTAGTGGCGCCAAATTGGCACCTAATGGCGCCAAATGGCGCCACGGCTAGAAATGAATGCCACTTTCGTGAACAGGGCACTGAATAGCCCCAGTAAGCAAGTTTATACAGATGTTGTTGAGAAAAGTTGTGGCGCTAAGGTGTCGCCAAAGTGGCGCCGGCCAAAACCCAATGTCGTAGAATATGAGCATACCCTCGGATACAGCTCGGCGAGCTGATTCTTATCTATACAAAAAGTCAACAGGAACAGCTCTATAACGAAAAAACGAAAACGCGGATCGGCGTTTTTTCGTAATTTTTTGAACACTTACGGTGGGTACTGTATTCCCTTTCATCGCCCGTCCCCCATTTCTGCGCTGGCAGGTTGCTTCTGTCTTGTGTGGGTCTCTTCAGAGGTTCTTCACATGGATAAGTCTTTCATCATTGAAGCTGAACGACATCTGGGTATCGCTGCACCCTCACTTCAGAAAGGTCCCCGCGCTTACGACCCCCCTCCCTCGAGGTCAAATACGACCCCCCCCCCTGTTGTGATGATCACAACGATGGCGTGCCCTGTTGCCAACCTGATAGAAGAAATTTTGGGTGCACAGGTGCCAATGCTGCACGAGGCGTTTTTGCATAGGCCAGTGTCATATTCGTGTTAATCGGGACAAA